AAAAAAAAAAAAAAAAAAAAAAAAAAGATTATTCTGAAATTAGATCATTCTGTTCTCAAGCTTCCTTTTCCTGTGTAGGTATGAGTGTTTATGAGTCCAATACATTGTTTACCCCAAAATCAAGTATCAAAGAAAATATTTTCAAACTTCTGCTCAAAAATATGCTCTTTCCTTAGCATGAGTTTTGTTTTGTTTGAGACGGAGTTTCGCTTGTATTGCCCAGGCTGGAGTGCAGTGGCCCGATCTCGGCTCACTGCAACATCTGCCTCCCGGGTTCAAGCAATTCTTCTGCCTCAGCCTCCTGAGTAGCTGGGATTACAGGCAACCACCACCACGCCCGACTAATTTTTGGTATTTTTAGTTCCAAAAGTTGATGAGTCGACCTGCTCCACGCATAATTTCAAGGTGGTCACGTTGGGGTCACCACTTGCAGCTTGTAGCTGCTGTGAACGCTGAGAGTGAAGTACTCAGACGACTCCAGCTGAGCGGGGCAGGGAGCAGCTCCTCTGAGAGAGTGCTGCCCCCAAATCTGTCCGCCAAGTATTTATTAGAGGGCTTGTTAAACTACAAACATCCACCAGATAGGTTTTTGCCGTGGGGTCATGAGGCACATATGGCCTTATAAAAGCACTCAGACCACATTCTTAGGAGGCTGTTTTCAGCGCTCCTTATCACACATTCCACTCGTCCTGTTTTCAAGGTCAAGGAGTTACATTCTCACGCACAAACAACGTACACACAGTGCCTGAGTATTTTTCCATGCCTCAAGCTCAAATGCACCCCCCACATCTCCCCCTTCTTTAATTCTTAGAGCTTGCTGGTTATCTAATGCAAGGTAAGCGTCTATCCTTCCCTGGTCATAAATGCTTTGGACGGCAGCACAGAGCCATTTACAGAAGCCTAGCAATCAGATACAAAAAATAATATAGCGGCCATCACCCAAATGTGTATATTTAACTCAGGCAACCAAGTATTCGGGTTCAGTCATTGAAAGCCTTCTTGTAATTGCCGAAGGGTATTTGTTTGTAATTGCTGTGAGACCATTCTTCAAGTTGTTTCTTCAACTCAACCTCAGATGCTTTGTACATAAGCTTGAATATATTGCCGTGCACTCCCTCCACCCCCCAACCCCCGCCCTCACTGCCTGCCAGAGAGCTGGGAAATGGCTGCTCCCGCTGCTCCGCTAAACACCGAAGTTATCCCAGGTAAATTACTTACGACTTCCTCCCGCGCGTGGCCGCTGTGCCCTCCCTCACCTCCTCCCCTGCTTTCCCTTCCTCTCCTCTCGCGCACCCTCCTCCCGCGCGCAGGAACCCCTGGGCAAGGCCACTGCGCCCTGGGTCCGCGGCCCCTGACGGGGCGCTCCGGGCGCGCACTCACACGGATGACGTAGCGCAAAGAGTTGCTGCAGTCCAGGCTGACCGTGAGTGAGAAGAGCGCGACGGTGCTGTACACGCCCTGCACTTTTTACAGCAGCTGGTTGAAGTCCCATCCCGCAGCGACCCCCGGGCGCTCCGCCACGCCACACTGCGCAGGTCCCAGCCCCCGCAGTCGTCGATGATCTCCAGCCTGGGCGGCGGGTTCAGTCGTTCGATCTCGCGCATCTCGAGGCACAAGCAGAAGAAGGCGTGCACCTAGTGCTGGGCAGCGCCACTGGGTCCACCCTTGGGCCGAGCCAGCAGGCGCCGCAGGCGTTCCTCGTTCTGCTCGCCAATGGCCGCAATGGTGCCATAGGTGAGCTTGTCGTCAGGGATGGCGTGGCGCCTCAGCCACCGCCGCAGGCGAACGAGTAGAAGTCCTGGCATGGGTCGATGCTGGCGTCCAGGTTGGCTGCCAGGAAGCGAGCGGCGCACGCAAAGGCCTTGCGCTCAGGACAGCCTTCAGGACAGGCGCCGCCGCCGGCCGCGACCGAGCCCAGGTACCTGAGCGCCAGCATAGCCGCCAGGATGGAGCAGAGGCCGGCTGCAAACACCAACCCGACAGCAGGCTCACCGCAAGCTGCTTCCAGTGCTGCAGCCCGGCCTGGGCCCGGTGGCCTGGGGGCAGAAAGGCCCCGCAAGCGCCCCCCGCGCCGCAGTGACTCACATACTTGACCTCCTAGAACTCATCGTAGTGCGCCATCAGCGAATACCAGGACTGCATGGCGCCGAGGCCGCTGGGGTGCAGCCCTGGGCCACCTGGGCTACGCCATGCGCGTGACCGCCGGCCTCCTCGTGGGCCTCAGCGTGGCTCCTGGGGCCTCAGCTGCCAGAAGGACAGAGGCAAGCTCATGAGGCGCCGCAGCCCGACGGGGTTCCCGGGCACTGCGAGGAGAGGAATAGGCCTGGGTGCAGAGGCCCCAGCCGCGGGCCTCATTCACTGGGGAAACCAGGGACCAGGAGGGCTCAGCGGGGCCACCACCTCCGCGTGCACAGTGGAGTCTTCTCCCCTGTCCCCCTCTCTGCACACACGTGCGGGTCCCTGGGTTGGGAGGGCCCTGATGAGAAGCGGGAGGCG